ATATTTATAACAAAATGATCTTGCTTTTGGGTATATGCCGGCTTTGAGCTCTTTACGCATGCTCTCTCTCTCTCTTTCTCTCTCTTTCTCTTTCTCTCACCAACCGGCACATGAGATTCGCTGCATAACCAATATACACACACTACATACACTGGCAAGATAACAGGCGCTAAAATCCACGGGACTAGTTTTATTTTTTTACTTGTTCTTATTTTAAAATGCCTTTTAAAACCAGGTAACATAATCTCCCTCAGAGGTTTGGGAGTTTAATAACGTGGTGTGCAGTAACCAACACCGCCCTGAAAGTTTACAAACTGCATAGACTATAGGCCTACAGCTATAGTGTGTTATAAATTGCATGTTTTAAATCAGGGGTTTTCAAACTTTTTCAGCTGAGGACCCCTTTGTGTAGGGCGAATTCTTTTGGGGACCCCCCAAAAATAAAAATGACGCCACCCCCTCAAATTAACAACTGTACTTAATTTTTTTTATTGTATTATTCAATACATTTATATTATTATATATTATTCAATAAATTTATATTATTCATTATCTGGATTAATTTTTGTAAGATGTTAGTTGAGTTGACATGGTTTCAGTGTTTCAATCTATTGATCAAATCTTGATGCGCAGTACTCATTGTGGTCTGCTCTCACTGGATTATTCCATCAAGCCATATTTTGTGTACAAGTCGTCACTTTACACAGTTTTTATGCCATTTTTATGCTTTTTTTCAGCCTATGCACAGCTAGACTCTTCTGTATTTACCCTTACAGCTGAGAGTCTAAATGTATCTAAAGATTTAAAGCTTTAAAGTTTTAAAGAGTTTTGTCATTCATCAGCCTGTTAACAGTTAACTGTACTGTTGTAACTAGCAATACTACAATGGAGGCTGTAGTGGTTCAGTGTGTTTTGTTTATTTTTATTCCTTTTTTTTGTGCACACCATAGTTTACTCAGGTCGACAATCCTGACTTACACTGATAAAAAATAATTTCCTAAATGCAATCTAGAATTGGGTATTCAAGTTCAAAGAGCCACAAGTTTTACTTTGCATAATTTTAGAAGCTTTGCTGACTTTAAAATGTTCATACCAGTTTGTTCTATTAATAATAATACTAAACATTACATTTAAATAAGTTACACAAACAAATATGGGAAAAAGTGAAACAAAAATGCATTTATATTCAGAGTATTACAATTTGATCAGGTATGTTGAGCTCCATTAAATACAGAGCACTAATACATTTTAATATTTAATAATTATTAGCCCTATAACATAACACAAACAGATACATTATAATTTTTAAAGGCTATAGTGGTTTTATTCAGGGTGTATACAATTTAGTTTTTTTAATCATTCAGTTATGAACCAATGTGAGTAAGAGGTCCACTGCAGAGCTCATCCAGCTGTCATTAGTGTAACAGGAGTGAAACTGAGAACTGGCTGATGTGAAGACAGCTCCATTCATTGTTATTGCAGCACTTTTTGCTTTACAATTTTAATATGTATGTGCAATGTTGTATATGTATATGAGGTGCAATGTTGTGCCGTGTCTTTAAAATGCTATTTGTTCCCTATGAGTGAAGCCTGCGCAGAGGCGCGCACTCCGCAGCACCTCGGTTACTTAGGAACGCAAGCCATAAACAGGGTAGTGCTTTCAGCCACCGATAATGTTCTTATTGATCATGTATTTTAACTGAAATATAGTCAGTCAAACCTGAGCATTCATTTAGTTGTTTAGCGTAAAAGAGGTAAGCGTAAGTGAAAGCTAAACGCCGTCAGGTGCAGCAGACAAGCGCCAAAAATCACCGTCAGGAAGCGCCTGGCCAGAAGCGCTTATTCAATAAAAGTCCCCGTCCACGGAGGCGGGCCGCTGCGCTTCTTTTCCTGTGTCACGAAAGTGTCAACTGCATTTAAATGACATAAGCATAAAGCTTCATTTTTGCAGTACTTTTGAGCTCAAATTATAATAAAAATATATTAACCTTCAGAATGATGCGAGACACAAAATTCATCCATGTGGGCTCATTGATCTAAAATTTCTTTGCGGCCCCCCTAGCGCCATCTGGCGGCCCCCCAAGGGGCCCCGGACCCCAGTTTGAAAACCCCTGTTTTAAATGACAGGGAGACATGCTACATTTAGTTTTTATTGTAAAATATAAATAGTTACCCAATACACAGTGAAATAATAATTTTTGAATGGCTTGTATATTGGCGGCGTGGCTATATAGCCGTTAAGCTTTGAGATGATGGTCGCGTGATTTTTAAAATGAGAGTATGCATTGCGTAATTGTGGCTATTGATCTTATCTACCCACGACCCACCCATAATTAAATATCGAGTAGCTGACATTTTGATTATCTGACCAGCAGATTAAGGACAGGACTCGTGAATATGAAAGAATCGCACATAACAGGGTTTTATGCGTCCCCAATATGCAATGCCTAGAGAGTGACTCCATAAGGTAACATACTGTACACTGCACACCCTTGTGTAACGTGTGAAGTCGTGGACACATACTGTAAGCGCAAGGATAACTTATCCTTTAAATGTCCATGCTTAATCATTAATAGATAAGGTCTGGATTCGCAGGGTTATCAACAATGTGTGGGCCTTTATTATTATTATTATTATTATTATAACTAGGTGAGGTTTGCAAACCTGTGTACTTTTCACTCTTCGGCCGTTTGCATTCCCGTTGGTCACAAAAGCTCCCTGCCATCTGACAGCGGAAAGCCTTGAGTGATTGACAGATAGGCTAATATAATCCAATACAGTAGCAGGGAAGAGCAATTGAGCACGTTTTTTGAAAAAAATCAAAACAGGTCGCGCTACAACCATTATATGCATTATATGTTCATGATATATATGTTCATATCATTGCAATGCTCCCAAAAATATTATGAGGTCGCATAGATTAAATTTCGTCCGCATTTGATTTATTTCGATATTGATGGTATTAGAAAACCCATGTTGCGGCGCAATGTCAATCCAGTGTACCGCCCACCACTATCCTGTGCCTCCTAATAATGTCTCCCAGGGTTAGCATGAATATTGTAAACAGCAAAGGGCCTAAAACTGATCTATATACTGTATACTAGCCTGACTTGTGAATGCTGTCCATTTATATTCACAAACTCATTACGGTCATGACCCAGGGGTCGGGACCTTTTTTCAGCAAAGAGCCATTTCTGATATGTTTGGCAAATGCCTTTTTTTTAATGATCCATTGTGGTATATATACACCACAATATATACTAATATTATAATACAGGTTTAAACAAAACTTTTATTTATGTAAACAAATATGAAGCATCACATGTTGAGCAAAACCATGAATGAAGAAAGAACAATTTATTTTTAATTTTTTTTTTCTAGAACACGTAGTAAATTTACTACTTTATATAATACCAACAGTTTCAAAGGCGTGAGCCAGATACATTTTAAATATGCAAATCTGGGCTATGTCATTCAAAAGAGATGTGTACTGACAACACAATTTCACTGCAATTCGTAACTTTTTCATTTAGTGGCTAATTCGTATGAATTCGTATGATCTAATTCGTACAATTTAGCACGATTTGCTCATCCCCCAATGACGGTTGGGGTTAGGGGTGGGGTCAGGTGCCACGCCTCCTTTTTAAAATCGTACCATTTCGTACGACTGAACTCGTACGAATTCGTACGAATTAGCCACTAAACTGGCAAAATGTAAAATACTTACGTTTTCTCGTGAGATCAGGCTGGTTCTGACAGTGTTCAGTCTGAACGTGGACACCTGCATTTTTTAAAGGCATTTCAGCATTTTAAAGGCATTTCAATTCAATTCAGCTTTATTTGTATAGCGCTTTTAATGTAGATTGTGTCAAAGCAGCTTCACATAAATGGTCATAGTAACTGGAACAGTGTAGTTCAGTTTTTAGTGTTAAATTTCAGCATTTAATCCCAAAATTAAGCTGTGAAGTAAAAATATGTATAGTATATATTAAACAGTTGATTAGTTATAGCATTTGTGTACCATTTATTTGTTCTCAAGAAAAGTCGAATAATGATAACATTTGGGGATATTTTTGATGTTTATCCTGATGCTGTTTCAAGTTTAATATAAAAAATAGAAAATTTCACATTTGAGTTTTACCATTTTTGGGTTTAAAACACTAAAGAGCAGACATGAAGCTGTGTTCTGAATCAGGTTTATTCTTACTCCTTTGAATGCCTGCTGATAGAGCTTTGCAGTAGTCCAGTCTTGAAATCATAAGAGCTTGAAGTAGCTTTACTGTGTTTTCTAATAGGAAGGGTCTGATTTGACCAATGTTGTGATTGTAAAGCATAAACCTGAATGACCGGGTCATTGCTCAGCTGATCTTCAAGCTGAACTTCATTCTCTATCTATGACAGTGATTTGTTGTGAACATTTATAAGCTTTCCTTTATTCTGGATGACATTTACAGTAGATTCATGTCTACATTTTTTTTTATTTAGCATTATTTTACTGCTGGTTTAGAGTATTAGTTAAATACAGCATGTCTAAATCACAAGTATCCTCTCTGCTCATGATCATCATCACTCTTGATTTATATTTGATGAGTTTTAATAGTCAAACTAGTAGAAACACACATTAAAGTAACTGACATTATATAGATATAAATTTACTCTAGTGTGATGTGTAATGTAACAATAATGTAACAAAGGAAATAGTTAATGAAATAAGGGGCAGGTTGCTTGCAAACAAATTTTTATAGTAGTTATGCATATTATATATATTATTATATGGGATAAATCATAAAGCAAGATGAGCCCCACACCAAACCAGATTCACAGTTGATAACAGATACTATTGTCACTCATCTTGACCTTGTTTTCACAGCAGTACATCATGCGTTACTTAAACATTGAAATTACCGGTTAAAATAAGCTATGTGTAATATAACATGAGTAGTGAACGTTACAAAGTGAAATCAAAAGTTAATTTTATATTAGTGACAGCTTTAATTATAATTAGTTTTGTGTAAAGATATTGATCAGAGAGGATGCTGGCTGAAATATGTTCAGAGTTAAGATGAGTTTAGCTGTCTTTTTAAACCAGGGGTAAAACAAAGCATAAACCAGAGGATTCACACCAGAGTTAGCATACAAAAACCATACTATAACATTTAGAGCTGTGGAGGAGTTTACAGTTAGAGAACAGATACAATATGGAATATAGCAAAGCAGATAAACCGACACAATGATTCCTAAAGTCAGAGCAGCTTTACTCTCAGATTTCCTCTTCACTGAACCCTCTTTTACACATTTACCACCCTTCATCAGAGAGTTTATAACCTTCACTTGCTGATGAACAACATAGAAAATCCTCAAATAAAACATCATGATCAGAGTGCAAGGAAAAATAAAAGACATGAACAGATCAGTGATGATCCAGCTAAAACTTATCATTAAGAAACACTCTCCATAACAATAAGCTGTTCTGTGTGGAGTGTCAAAATCTCTATTTTTAATTACAAAGGTAATGCAGTAAGCTGATAAGCAAAACCAGTTTAGACAGATACTCATCAACATGTTAGTGATGGTTATTTTCTGTGGGTACAGTAAAGGGTGACACACAGCCACATAACGATCAACAGCAATTAAAAGTAAATTCCCAACAGATGCTGAGAGAAGTATTGACACAAATAATAAATAGAGTCCACAGAAAGTGTCTCCAAAATACCAACATGTCTCAATCAGTCTGATGACCTCTACAGGCATGGCGAGTCCAATAAGCAGATCATTTACAGCCAGAGAGAGAATAATCATGTTGGTTGGAGTGTGAAGCTTCTTGAAGTGTGAGATTGAGATGATCACCAGCAGGTTCAGAAACACAGTCCATGCTGACAGCAATGATACAAACACATATATGGTGATATATCCATGACTTAAGCTTCTCCTCTTGACACATGATGAGTTGATGTCAGGAAAGCAGTATTGAGTCTCCTGATCCTCTGTCTCATAGGCCATGAGTAAGTCTCCCCCCTGTTAGGAGTTTGTTCTGCTCCTTTCTGTCCTTTCATTTATACAGTGTCTGGATCAAACCAACCAACCCATCTACCGCCCACTCTGATGTAATCTATAAAAAAAAAGTCAGTTTTTTTTTTTTGCATCACTATTTCTTCTGTCCAGCTTATGGTTTTCTGCTGCTGAGTTTAGTTGCTTTAATCAGCTGCTGTACTTTTTTTTTTAAAATCCAGAGTGAAATCCAAAGTGAAAAACATTGGTGTCATTTCATCACTTGTTTCAATCAATGTTGTTGGTCTGTCAGGGAGCAGTTGTGGCCTAATGGTCAATGAGTTTTGGTTGTTCATCAAAGATTGCAGGAGTCCTGATACCAGCAAGAATTTTAGGTAAGGTATTGTATGGTACGGTAAATTCATACTTGTTATGTCTTTACTTTCCGTTTTTTGTAATAAATTATTAGTATTTTTTAATTTAGTTTTGTGATTTTTATTTATTTATTTATTTATTTATTTATCTATTTATTTATTTTTATTTTTATAGATTTTTTATCGATTTTTAAAGAACACTATTAAAGTGGATGTTCATGGGAATCATTGGATTAAAATAAAAAAAAAATGCAAAATACAGTCAAGTGTGTGCAGTTAATAGAAAATTCGATTTCGATTTTGGCTTCTAACGATTATGAAAAAGCATTAATCGAGATAAACGATTATCACATCATAAACGGCCCTTTCTAGTTGTACACATTTGTTGCTCTTTAAAACTTAGTTCAAAGTGAAAATGACTAAAAGCATGTGCTGGAACGTTTGCAGCACGGGATGCGCATCGTTCATTGATTTACATTCGAATCATGTTTTTAAAAGCACGAATGTTCGGCACACACGCTCGAGATGAGCAGTGCACACACATCTAAAGTCATCGGTCACACTTTACAATAAGGTTCATTAGTTAATGTTAATTAATGCATTTACTAACATGAACAAACATTGAACAATACATTTACTACTGTAATTGTTCATGTTAGTTAACGTTAGTTAATGAAAATACAATAGTTCATTGTTAGTTCATGTTAACTCATGGTGCATTAACTAATGTTAACAGGCATGGACTTGGATGTTAATAATGCATTAGTAAATGTTCAATTATGATTAATAAATGTTGTACATGTGTTGTTCTTGATTAGTTCATGTTAGTAAATGCATTAACTAATGAACCTTATTGTAAAGTGTTACCCCCTTATTTGTGTAATAAACAAACGAGTTGAGAGTCAAAAGACATGTGAAAGAGCCATTAAAACCATTAAAGTGACAGCGCGCAATAATCCTGCTGCAGCCTGTTTTCATTTACATTTACATTTAGTCATTAAGCAGACGCTTTTATCCAAAGCGACTTACAAATGAGGACAAGGAAGCAATTTACACAACTATAAGAGCAACAATGAATAAGTGCTGTAGGCAAGTTTCAGGTCTGTAAAGTCTAAGAAGGAAAGTATTATTTGGTACTGTTAGTGTGATATCCAGAGAGGCAATTGCAGATTAGGAAGTAAAGTGGAGACTAAATAGTTCATCATTAATCAAACAACAAAAGGAAAAAATCCCTCACTGCTAGTAGCTGAAGTTTTTTCTTGCAGTGAAGATGCTTAAAGCAGTTCGTTTCATGTTTTTATTCTATTGTATTTATTTCCTTTTCCTTATTTACAGGGAGGAAAATAAATGCATATATGCAGTTCAAGTCAGAATTATTAGCCCTCCGGAATTATTAGTGACCCCTTTCCCCCAAATTTCTGTTTAATGGGAAGAAGATTTTTTTTTTCAACACATTTCTAAACATAATACTTTTAATAACTCATTTCTAATAACTGATTTCTTTAATCTTTGCCATGATGACAGCACATAATATTTTACTATATATTTTTCAAAATATAAGCTTTCAGATTTAATTGATTAATGCCCTACATGTTTATATGTTCCTTAGCATCGTGGCCACCTCCAAATGGTGTTGAAAAAGTCACATACTATATTTATAAGATAAAATTCACCCCAAAAAATAATTTCTTGCTTGTTGTAATGTGTTCGCGGACGTGGTATCACACGTAAGCCTGTGATAAATACCAATTAAATACCATTTTATGTACCATTTATTGTCATACTACTGAAAGCAGCAAAAGATCTTTACCTCAGCAGTTCATCTCAGATCTTGAAAATAAAGTAACAGCAGACGATATTAAAATGAAAGTCAGAACTGTGACTCGGTGCAAATCATCAACATCCATCACTCAGCAGCCTATTAATAATCATAAAGAGGTTTAATATGCTGTATATATTCAGTTGATTAAAAGTCTTAACCATTTCATTGGGAGTGCAGTGGCTGGTATTTAAATGTTGAGGCCATGTCGCATCTTTTTGGTGCAGACAGAAAAATTGCTTATTGCTGGAATCTTGTCACGTCTCATGTCGCGTCTTGAATACATATGTTGTATTCATCAGTTATTCATTGTTCTAATCACAATGTGAATGCAGTCACTTCAAAACGGGAGTTTATCATTTAAAAATTAGTGACAGAAACACACAGATTTATGGAAACTTAAAAAAAAAGCTTCCATATGTCCAACACCTTTATACAGCATGGAAGAGCTATGATAAATTTGAAAAATACTAAAAGTAATAAAATAATAAAAGTCTTACTTTTGACTATATTATGGGGTAGTTTTCATTTTTGTGTGAGCTATTCCTTTAATCCTGAATAAAACCATTCTCAAACATGGCTGGACTTAAGAGTATTACGGGACATGTTTCTGTTTTCACTGTTGTAAGTTTCATGTCAGTACATTTGTCCTGTCATGGTTAAAGCACTGACGACAAAACACTATTAACATAAACACTTAGTAGTTAGATAATAGTTTGCTTTTATTTGTACTGTTTTTACAATGACAGTAGGCTATAAAAAATGTGAGATAATAAATAAATAAATATATCACTGTTTGACTGACTGACTGAATCCATGCCCTGAAAACTTCAATAAGTGGTTAAATGTTTAATAACAGTATTTTTTGCTTGCAAACACAGTTTTCATAAATGTTTTGAGCCACAAAAACCTCCTTCTCCATACCTTATTTACAGGTAATAATGGATACCACTGTCATACTTCTATATCTTGTTTTCACAGCAGTTGGCCTACGTCATAAGTTTACTTGAAGATCAAGCTAACAGGTTGTAATAAGCTATGTGTGACAACATGAGTAGTAAGTATTACAAATAGAAATCAAATATTATTTCTATATTAGTGAACGCTTTGGATGTAATTATAATTAATCTTGTATAAAAATATTGATCAGAGAAGATGCCGGCTGAAATATTTTTAGAGATAAAATGAGTTTAGCTGTCTTTTTAAACCAGGGGTAAAATAAAGCATAAACCAGAGGATTGAGACCTGAGCTAGCATGTACCCCAAATATTAAAACATTTATAGCGGTGTAAGAGTTTACAGTTAGAGAACAGATATAATATGGAATCCAGCAAAGCAGAAAAACCGACACAATGATTCCTAAAGTCAGAGCAGCTTTACTCTCAGATTTCCTCTTGACTGAACTCTCCGTAACACATTTACCACCCTTCATCAGAGAGTTTATAACCTTCACTTGCTGATGAACGACATAGAAAATCCTCAAATACAAAGTGATGATTAGAACACAGGGAAAAATAAAAGACATGAACAGATCAATGATTAAGCAACTAAAACTTATTATCATTAAACACTGTCCATAACACACATCTGTTCTGTGTGAAGTGTCAAAACTTCCATTATTAATTATAAAGGTAATGCAGTAAGCTGATAAGCAAACCCAGCTCAGACAGATACTCTTTAACATGTTAGTGATTGTAATTTTCTGTGGGTACAGTAGAGGGTGACACACAGCCACATAACGATCAACAGCAATTAAAACTAAATTACCAAGAGATGCTGAGAGAAGTAATGACACAAATAATAAATAGAGTCCACAGAAAGTGTCTCCAAAATACCAACATGTCTCAATCTGTCTGATAGCCTCTATCGGCATGATGATTCCAATAAACAGATCATTTACAGCCAGAGAGAGAATAATCATGTTGGTTGGAGTGTGAAGCTTCTTGAAGTGAGAGATGGAGATGATCACCAGCAGGTTCAGAAACACAGTCCATGCTGACAGCAATGACACAAACACATATATGATGATATATCCATGACTTGCGCTTCTCTCCTTGACACATGATGAGTTGATGTCAGGAAAGCAGTATTGAGTCTCCTGATCCTCTGTCTCAAAGGCCATGAGTGAGTCTCCTCCTGTTAGGAGTTTGTTCTGCTCTCCTTTCTGTCCTTTCATTTATACAATGTCTGCATCAGGCAGACCAACCCATTTACCGCCCACTCTGATGTAATCTATCAAAAAAAAAAAAAAAACATTTTTTTTTGCATCATCTTTGAAATGCAAGCCATTTCTTCTGTCCAGCTTATGGTTTACTGCTGCTGTTGAAAAGTAAAGTTCAGCTCAACAATAAGTTTAGTTGCTTTAATCAGCTGCTGTACATTTTTTAATCCAGAGTGAAATTCAAAGTGAAAAACATTGGTGTCATTCAATCAATTGTTTCAGTCAATGTTGTTGGTCTGTCAGGGGGCAGTTGTGGCCTAATAGTGAATGAGTTTGGATTGTTTCCCAAAGGTTGCAAGAGTCTTAATACCAGCAAGGATTGTAGGTGAGGTATTGTATGTAGGGCTGTGATGGTCACTTTGACAACCGCATCACCGTGGTGGTCAGTTGCCACCGCAGTTGTCTATTGTTACTGGCGGTAGTATGTGACGTCACGCACTTTAAAACACAAATTGGTGTTATGTTGCCAAGTATTACATTTCTGTTAGAATATAACATTAGGCAATTCAGCAAGTTCAAGTTCAACCATGAATCTTGTTGGAAAATGAAGTTTTACATCTGGGAACATTTTGGATTCGTGCCGACCGAGAAAGGTAAACCAATTAAT